ATTGAAATTCTAAATTTTTGAGTTAAAGGAATCTACAACTCGTTAACAATTATAAAATTTTTTTTAATTATAATGTTTTTGGGAATTTATGAAAAAATGCAATACCTTTCCAAATTCCCGAGTAGATACTATAGTATTCTAATTGTATTGTATTATAAATGAGAGTGATAAACTTACCTCCATACAGCTAGTGTGACCGTTAGCCATATGGATATGGTGTGGAATGCTTGAGAAAAGTCCGAATGAAGTAAAACGAACAGAGACCAGTTGTAGGAGAAGCGGTCAGCACGTGGATAGTTGGCGGGCCGGAGGTACATATGATAGGCGAACGGAACATACTCGACCATGACCAAAAGGTCGGCCACGGCCAGTCCGGTGAGTATGGCGTTGGTGGGCGAGACCATTTCTTTGCGTGTCAATACTGCGATGTTTAGCACGTTGGCAACCGAACCRAACGCGCACACCAACAGGCTGGCGTAACCGTGGTAGTGGACGTACACGTCGTGCAAGTTGACCAGCAGGTCACCGCAGTAGGGCGAGACGTGTGAGGCACTGTCACCAGCTCCAGAAGTCCCATTACCTTGCTCCATCCGGGCGGATCTCACCTAGAGGAATAAAATAGATTTAAAAAAAATGTAATTTGCAAACGAATTATTATTATGTGGTAACGAGTAACGACATACTTTTAAACGATTCGATATAAAATATACACAATTATTGAGTATTGACTAACTGACAAGCCTATAGATAATATATTATTTTGAAAAATATTTAAAAAAAAAAACGTTTACAAAATATTTGAGTAATTGCATTGAATCTTATTATCTAAGCTATAACTTATAGCCTAGTGCTTCTCTGTGTTAAGACTTAATAAGACACGTGCTTAAATTCGGTATGAAGTTAAACAATAAAAATAATCGTACGCTCAGGATAGGTAGAGAAAGTTGTTGTCTCCTGAGGTCCATTTTATCYTACTAGTTCCAATTCTTCTTTAGTCATTTCGTTTCAGTCACTAATTTTGTTAGGAACCACCCTATTCAGTATTCATCGTATGATGCGTTTGGGAAGTAAACACCTAATTCTCTTTTACGTTTTTCCCTATAATAATTATTGTTATTATTAGTATTCTTACTATTATCTGCTATATTAATTGACAATAGTTAATTTTCCCTGTTTTTCTTGAATATTGTTGTTAATCTTTAACTGTGTTGTATTATTTAATTGCCGTCTACTAGGTACCTATGCAACTATTTTATATACTATTGTATTATGCTTCTATTGGGATTTTGTTCCCATGAAATAAATAAATATGTTAATTAATATTKTGTRTACTAATAGAATACATTTTTAGCAATTATAWAAAATTCGAATMGCAATAGTACTCATTGTCCGTATATTTGAATAAATAAACAAAATGTAATATTATGCATCGCCRTGCTGATGCTACAGCGGGTTATTCGCGGGTGTGTTTAATCTGCAGGTAACGTTCCTTGCGTGCATTATAATATTTGTTATTCTATATTATTGTTTTTATAATTATTATACACCCTCTCCGGGGGACCCGTTACCGGAGGGTGTCAAAATTTGAAAAAAAGCTAGCTCCGTTACATGCTTATATATATTATATATGTATATATTTATATTAATATGTATATAGGACGTTTTATTCGCGCGGCAGGGATTAGCAATCGGAAGTCGTTGAACTCGCCCCCGACGACGYTCAGTCACGTTCGTTATAGTCGGTCGGATAAAACACCCTTTTCGTCGTCACGATTGTGTATGGCCAAGAATGTAGAGGACGACGACGTGGAACTACTGTATTTTTGTTGGCACCGAAACCTTCGAATTCTTTTTCGACTTAACCATATACTTGTATTATGTATTTATATCGCACGATATTGTTGTATGGCACCGCACGACGGAATATTATATGATATATGTTATACGTGTGTACCTTCTGTATAGGTAATATGTATAGTAGGTATGACGCATGCGCMGCCCTTGTGTATATAAACCTCCGAATGGAACAAYCAACCGCAAAAACTCTTCACGCAGAATATTATACATATTATATTTTATGATGCGTGTGGGTTGTTAGTTRTCATATATTATAAGCGATGAAAAATATTACAAYTCGTAGAAAATTAGTTAGTAGACAATTCGCCGTATGGTGTCGTTTAGACACTGGAAGTGTGAAAACATATCCATATTATTATTATTATATTATAAGTTATAATTTATAACTGTTATACTAAAATACCAATCTAAAATCCGGTGACGTCGTATTTTACACTTAGTCTTGATAAGTGGTGGTGGATAATAGGTTGGGTTTTTATAAGACCACGCATATTATATTAATATTCATTTTATAATCGTTTGAGACAATACAATCTATTGAGTATTGAATATAATATGATGACGATACATAACAAAAAAAGC